CACTTTCAGCTGATCCAACAAAATGTTGTTAAAATATGCAAATGAATATTGGTTCAAATTTGCCAATATGATAATGGCTTCGAAGACTTCCCACAAAATGCTGAGTATTCTACTCATTATGATCACTACCAATTTACTTGGCAGTTTGCTTTGTTTTCCCAGTGTACTGTGGGGCTTTGTCTGTAAACAGCAACGTTTAAGACTCTTAGAAGCTGGGTTGCTAAATTATGACATTAAATAATCGAGTCGGAGCATCCCAACCTAGTAGCATTGCACTTCCGCTCTTTAGAATCTGAGGTTCAAGGATGAAGAAATTTTCGAGCATAACTTCTATTAAAATTGAAATAAATTCCTAGTACCTAAGAGAAGAATCAAATCACAAATATTTATTTTTGAAATAGAGACAGATTTGCAAAGCTAGCACATACATTTGATACATTTTCAGGACACGGCAACATGTTTAGCAACATTAAGGGTTCTTCCCAACATGTTGTAGCTAATTTCTCTTGTCGTCAGGTTACCACATATTCCTCTTTGCTTCCTCTTTCTTGTGGATTTACTGAGTCCTTTGGATTGATTTATGTTAAACCAATTTTTGAAATGATATTTTATGTAAAAAACACCTTGGTTCTATCCTCTTGGCTGATTACTGATAATGTTGCTGAAACATTGTGTCTGGCAACATTGTACTCTTAACACATACAGGGTTGCCCATATTCGACGGACCCTTGTTTTTTTTTTTAAATCAAAGAAAAAAATAAAAATTTGGCGGTTGGCAATGTTAATCATTTAATTTGTTCCAAGTAGATTTGTTTACATCAATTTTTGAATATGATATCTCTCAAATGGCCGCCTCTGGCGTTGATGACGTATTGTGCCCTTTATGCTGCATTTTCCATCGTTTTTGCAAACATTTCGGCCGGAATAGCGGCTATTTCTTCACAAATGTTGTCCTTGAGCTCTTCTACCGTCCTTGGCTTGTTAACGTAAACCTTTGACTTCAAATATCCCCACAAGAAGAAGTCAGGCGGCGTCAAATCGGGCGAACGCGGTGGCCAGTCCAAATCACCACATCAAACGGCCCGGAAACAAATTCTTCAGAAAATCGATTGTTATGCGACTTGTGTGCGGTGGAGCGCCGTCTTATTGAAACCAGAACTGCCTCATACGCTTTCGACGAATAATTGCCATCACAAAATTGCTGTTATCATCAATCATGTCGCGATAACGCTCCTGATTGATGGTAACAGCATGACCGTTTTCATTTTGGAAGAAAAACGGCCCAATGACCGTTTTCGCACTAACGCCGCACCAAAGTGTGACTTTTTCGGCATGAAGAGACACTTCTTGAATCTCCTGAGGATTTTCAGTGGTGTAAAAACGGCAATTTTGCTTGTTTACGGTCCCATACAATGTGAAATGGGCTTAATCGGACATGATAATTTTGTTCCAAAATTGCTCGTCATTTTCGGCCATTTCGATGACTCTTTGGGTCCATTCCAATCGACGAGGCTTGTCCGCAGGCAACATTCTTTGCGTCAATTGAATTTTGTACGGGAACAAATGCAAATCAATGCGAATAATCCGTTGTAAAGTGGACCGAGCCATGCCCAACTGCTGAGAACGGCGTTTTTGGGATGTTCTTGGGGACCTTTCAACACTGGCTCGTACGGCAGCGATATTCTCGGCCGATCGCCTGGGTCGACTTTTATATGGCCGATGGATCACTTTAGATATCAATTTAAGACAGGATTTATTGACAGCAACATGTTGAGAACGAATGAGAGTTATTCTCAACATGTTGCCGCCACTTATGTGTCGCCTTTATTACAGATCCACTGCTATGTAGACAAATCAGTGTCAATCTAATTCTTAAAAACGTATTGTAGGAATAACTACCGTCGGATTTCAGCCTTTATTTTGCATATAAGCAATTATGTTGATAATGTTGCTGAAACATTGTGTCTGGCAACATTGTTCTCTTATCATATACACTGTGATATGTATGACTGGACATATGTTGGACGCCACTTTAATAAAAAAAAAACATATTTAATGGCTTGACTAGACCAGAGTCAAAAATTGTTGTAGATTCTAATGTTCTGTAACCATGCCTTCTAATCTAATTCAATAAAAAATTTTGCCAAAACATTTATATTTAATAGGCATTTATTATATGGGTGACACCATCCTTTGTCGGCAATTTTTTCAGTGACATATTTTGTAACAACTTTCGCATTGAAACATCTATTCGCAAAAATTATGCGAAAATTGTAAAATTATTTATTTTTCTAAATATTGAACCCTTATCGGGCGCCAATACATCTTAATGATTTGCTAAAGTAAAAATATTTTCTATAGCCTAGAAAATTGTTCCGTTTTTTGTGGAATATATAGACTTTGCATACAAATCAAAATTATTCCTTTGAAATAATGTAACTAAAATATTAATATCCTACTTGGGTGTTGGGCGCCACCTCAAGTAAAATGCAGACAAGTGCTGGGTTATCTAGCTAAACGATCTTCACAGTCCATGAAGATTTTTTAAGTGGCTCCAATTTTTTGGACACAGTCACTGTTCAAATAGCTTGGTTAAATGATTTATAAAAGTGGCGCCAAACAGATTAAGTCCTAACCGCATGAAATATTCTGTTCTTTGGAAAAAGCAACATATTCGTGCTGAAAACTCCAAGGCATTGCATTCCTATAATTTGTTTTGCGATTAAATAGAAAACCAAAACCAGATTCTCTTAGACAAGGTGACGCATTCCTTGTCTATTCTTATCACATGCTTTCGGATTATAAATCTCCTCGCTTTAACAAAAACTGTTCGAAGTCTCTATAATGAAATGAAATTATAAGATCTAGAAGGTCTGGGTATTGATAAAAACAAAATAGGGGATAAATAGAACCCGTCTAAGGGTAGGTAAACACAAGAGGGAAAATGAATGGAACTACGATGTAGTATCGATCGATCAATTTGGGGAATATCTTTTCTGAACTAGTTTGTACTCAACTCTTATATTGAAGTGTCTCACAGATAAGACTTTAGGGAGAACTAGCTCTAGGGACAAAAAGTCAGTGAACCAATTGCCGAAACTCGTCTAGAGTTAGGTAATTACGTTGCAAAAGTCATTCGATCATTTTCTGTTTTATCCGCAAAGGCAACTAGTTTCCATATTCATTCAGTTCCTTAGTTCCATTCAGTTCAATCCTTCATTGGTAAATGTCAGTTAATTCGACCGATGAACGACTAGATTCAAATGATTGACTGAATCAGAAAAAAATAGATGAACGTAAAAACGGGCCTAGTACCGATGGTTCCTTTTGCGGAATAGTTTCATTAAACTAGTTCAAACCGGAACCACCCGAATCTGATATTCAAGCCTCTTACAGATGAGACTCTAGGGGTCATGTGGTCATGTGAACCAACCTTCGAAATCAAACAATAATGATCTCAAAAGTTGCTCAATCTCGTTCCCAAGCCACTTTACACAGCAAAAGGAATTTTGTTCAAAAGTTCATTTAACTTGAACCGTTCATTAGTCAGCTTGGCTAATGAACGGTAACAAGAGCCAAAACGAAACGACTCAACTGTAATGTTCAAGTCTCTTATAGATTAGATCTTAGATGGAACTAACTTTAGTTGCAGTAATGTCAAGTCAAAACAAATCTCTAGGGGCAAACCATCGCTATATCAATGTGAATATCAGTTAAACTCTAAGATGTAGATGAACCATTAGAACTAAGTGAACATGAGAGAAAAAATGAACGACTGGAGCAAATGAAACTCGTTAGCAGGAGTGATCGATCCTTTTGAGGAATAGTTCATTTCAGTTAAAATAAACTATTTCACAAATGGATAGATGCGTGCTTCGTTTTGTTCCAATCGTTCATTCGTGAATTACTCAGAAGAACTCTAGATTCACGTGATGTTTTAATCAGCAATTATGAGTTTGGTCGACGCCAATAGGCAATGTCCAGAAGAATTTTTTACAGGATTGAAGGCATCATTTTGTTTCTATGAGATAAAATTTAGAAGAAATGTTTCGCTGTACCATGAATTAAGTGCAAGTGCATGAAAATACTGCAAGTCTGTACAGTTTTTGTCCGGTCCCGATTTTTTTAGATTAATTCTATGCCATCTGGGCCGCGATAGAACTTGATTATGACTGTGTAGAGTGTGTGAAAGATCGGCAGCATGAGTCATTTGCATTTCCGTATTTAAATTTGAAATATTTCAAAATAGAAACATACGATCGGAGTTTGTTTCGATTTGGCGACCAATTAGAGGATTCAAAATGTAAAATATGTATCTTTAGTACTGCGTTTCTTTTTACACATTTAGGTATACAGCTCATAACCTACCTATAAAATTAATTTTTCTCAACTTGTCGCCAAAAATGGGGATTTTGAACAATGTGTGATACTTATTTTGATGTGGCGCCCAACTTGGGGTTTTCAAGGATTTTTTATGTATTCATATATCTATATATATCCTAACAAGTACATATTTAACTCAAAGAAGTAGCTATGAGTGGCGCCCAACGTGGTATTTCGCCTATATTCACCCATTTTTTTGTGATAATCATTCAATTTGTGTGTGTTATATTAATGTGGAGCCCGATGTGGGGCTTTTTTAAAATGAAGATCACCTGAATCTTCCTATCGATTTGTTTATTTATGTATCATCCATATATTTACCTATTTGTTGATAATGGACATATTTCCATTTAATGATGAAGTGGCGTCCAACGTGGGGCTTTCTTTGTATAGCTTATAAGAACTCTAATCACGTAGAGGTCATACGAATTTTTTATCAACATGTCCATATATCTTTTTCTTTATCTATTTTTATATTAATTACCTCATTCCCATGCTAAAGAAAATGTGGCGCCCAATGTGGGGTTTCATTGTATACCTTATTAGAAATTTAAGAATTTTTTATAATCATTTCTTTAACTTTTCCAATAATCATAGTCTTTTCTCTTCCTTTCCAGGGTTCCCATTTTATACCATAGGACGTTTTCAAAATGAGGTGTGTACGGGTAAAAATAATCTCTTTGGCACCTGTATGGTGCGGGGCGAGTGTAGTGACAATGGTGGTGTGTCTGCGGGAGGGTGTTCAACCATAACAAATCAGGCAGTGTGTTGTATTTGTAAGTATAGATGAAAAAAAAATTTTAAATGGATCCCCTCTAACCTCCAATAATTTTCTTTGTTGCAGATCAAAAAACCTGTGGCGCTACTACGCAGTATAACAATACCTACTTCTATAATTCCGGCTACCCGGGTACCTACGGTGGTGGTGGACGTTGCACGATTGTGGTGCAACCCTGTGATTCGAATATTTGCCAACTGAGAATTGATTTCCTATCGCTTTCGTTGGCCCCTCCAAATGGTGATGGTTATTGTGTAACGGATTCCTTGCAGATTACTGGAGGTGCTTCAAGGGTCCCTGCAATTTGTGGTGAAAATTCCGGGCAACATGTTTATGTGGATTTTAATGGCGAGTCACCGATTACCATTTCGGTTGCCACTTCGGCCGGCTACACCTTCAATCGTCATTGGCAATTTCAAATAACGCAATTGGCATGTGCCTCACCGACACAGGCCCCCTCAGGATGTTTGCAGTATTATATGGAAGAAAGTGGCACTGTGCAAAGTTTTAATTATGTATCGGCACCGAATTCTTTGACAAATTCCATTGGAGTACCCGGTTCGCGGCAAATTGCCAATCACATGTATGGCATCTGTATAAGAATGGCGGCGAATAAATGTTCGATTACCTGGTCTCAGGTGGATTCCGATGCATACTCATTTACCCTGACAAATGATGTGGGTGCTGTGGACCCTTCGTTGTTGGCCACCGAGGCTGTACAGAGCCAGGAGTGCAGCACAGATTTTATTGTAATACCAAATCCGCAACAGAATGGTGCATCGCTGCCCAGTGATCGGTTTTGTGGTTTGGGCCTAGTGGCCACAACAAGTGCCACCAAGCCGTTTGTGTTGTTCGTCAATACAGATGGTAATGAGGATTTTGATATATCAAATCGTGGATTTTATTTGTCATACTCACAGAATGGTTGCCCGATATTGTGAAACAGGATGGCTGGTGTATGAATAAAGGACTGAATATTTTTTTTATAGAAAACAAAAAGAAGTTTGGAGTTTTATTTTTTTTCAGGGACCAACACGAAGTGGATTTTTTAAAATAGGTTTTTAGAGTCTACCCTGAGGCGTGGATTTTAAAATATTTTTTAGGGTCTATCCTAAGGCGTGGATTTTAAAAATATTCTTTTAGGGTCTACCCTAAGGCGTGGATTTTTTAAAATATTTTTTAGGGTCTACCCTAAGGCGTGGATTTTTTAAAATATATTTAGGGTCTACTCTAAGGCGTGGATTTTTTAAAATATTTTTTAGGGTCTACCCTAAGGCGTGGATTTTTTAAAATATTTTTTAGGGTCTACCCTAAGGCGTGGATTTTTTAAAATATTTTTTAGGGTCTACCCTAAGGCGTGGATTTTTTAAAATATTTTTTAGGGTCTACCCTAAGCCGTGGATTTTTTAAAATATTTTTTAGGGTCTACCCTAAGGCGTGGATTTTTTAAAATATTTTTTAGGGTCTACCCTAAGGCGTGGATTTTTTAAAATATTTTTTAGGGTCTACCCTAAGGCGTGGATTTTTTAAAATATTTTTTAGGGTCTACCCTAAGGCGTGGATTTTTTAAAATATTTTTTAGGGTCTACCCTAAGGCGTGGATTTTTTAAAATATTTTTTAGGGTCTACCCTAAGGCGTGGATTTTTTAAAATATTTTTTAGGGTCTACCCTAAGGCGTGGATTTTTTAAAATATTTTTTAGGGTCTACCCTAAGGCGTGGATTTTTTAAAATATTTTTTAGGGTCTACCCTAAGGCGTGGATTTTTTAAAATATTTTTTAGGGTCTACCCTAAGGCGTGGATTTTTTTAAATATTTTTTAGGGTCTACCCTAAGGCGTGGATTTTTTAAAATATTTTTTAGGGTCTACCCTAAGGCGTGGATTTTTTAAAATATTTTTTAGGGGTCTACCCTAAGGCGTGGATTTTTTAAAATATTTTTTAGGGTCTACCCTAAGGCGTGGATTTTTTAAAATATTTTTTAGGGTCTACCCTAAGGCGTGGATTTTTTAAAATATTTTTTAGGGTCTACCCTAAGGCGTGGATTTTTTAAAATATTTTTTAGGGTCTACCCTAAGGCGTGGATTTTTTAAAATATTTTTTAGGGTCTACCCTAAGGCGTGGATTTTTTAAAATATTTTTTAGGGTCTACCCTAAGGCGTGGATTTTTTAAAATATTTTTTAGGGTCTACCCTAAGGCGTGGATTTTTTAAAATATTTTTTAGGGTCTACCCTAAGGCGTGGATTTTTTAAAATATTTTTTAGGGTCTACCCTAAGGCGTGGATTTTTTAAAATATTTTTTAGGGTCTACCCTAAATTAATTTTTCCATCACTGGGGTCCTGGATTGTTCGCATTCGTGTCTAGCTGCATGTCCTTTAGCCATTATTTGTTGCAATAGTTGTCATTAACTATACTTCGTCATTTAGTTGTTGTTGTTGTAATAGTGACATTATGTACTTCCACGGGGTTTTTTATGGCGTTCGAATTAATCGAGCACGCGCCAACACTTTGTTGTCATTTAGTTAAATACACACCATGGAATAATCTCCTCCCCCCTTTCCGTTCCGAATGCCATGAGGAATTTGGGGACTCATTTTTGTGTGGAAATGTCCTTTACATAAATTGTTGTTGTTGTCGTTGTTGTTGGTTGTCGTAACTAAAAAGGTCTTATCAAAGAATATTATCTAATTAGAGGCTGTTAGTACAACCAGAACAACGCTAACATTACGGCTAGCCTCAGCTATTGTTATGGCCCCGAGTGGAAAAACAAGCGGAAAAAAGTTTAAGCCATTAAATCCATTATGGCCATGAAATGAAATAGTATGGCCGAGAGAAAGACACACACACACACAAACAAAAACGCTAATATTTTGTGGCCATTTTTTGTTCAAATTCAGTTACTCCAAATTGTTTTTCAAATGAGCCACAAAGCTGAAGAAAAGAATTGGTTTTTTTGCGGGGTCCTTAAGTAGACAATTTGTCTGGTTATTATCTTTGCCTTGGCCTTAACCAAATTTACTGGTCATTTGCTTGAGGGGTCATTAAAGTGGCCAAAATTATTTTGTATTAATTTCGATAATATATTGAGGGGAAATAAAAAGAAAAGTTTTTTTGTAATGAGTTACGAAGGCCTTAGGAGGCCTAATCAACAGGGCCAACTTGTTTTGGAATTGTGAATTTTTTTAAAATTCATTTTTCAACGACCTAACCAAGGCCTGGATATTTTAAAATTATTTTTTCAAAATAGGAAGGGAAAATATCTTTGGCCCCACCGTCGGAAAATTCATCCTCCATGAAGAAACATCAGACAACGGCATGAGGTTGATTGACTTCGCGGCAGCAAAAAAAAGGTAGTTAGCAACACCAGATTCAAGCATCTCGATATACACAAGAGCCCCTGGATTTCTCCCGATCGAACAACGAGAAATCAAATCGTTCATGTTGTGATAGACGGAAGGCATTCGTCCAGTGTTTTAGACGTCCGATCGATCCGGGGAGCGAATATCGATTCGGACCATTACCTTGTGGCAGCCACGGCACGCACCCGTCTTAACGTAGCAGCAAAGATGCGATCTAATGACATTGAAAAGCTGCAAACACAACAGCTAGCCGAGGCCTACTCCGCTCAACTTACCCAACTGCTTGACAAAAGCACTTCTTGACCCGAGAAGAATATACATAGAATCACAGTGGCAGAGAATTGACCACTCCCTACAAACTGCAGCAAAAGCAACACTTGGGTACCAAATACCACCATCAAGAAATCCGTTGTACGATCAGGAGTGTCGTAATGCTACTGATGTGAAAAACGCAGCGTATAGGCAACCCTGCGGTACCAACACGTAATATGATGGAGAATTATCGGGAGAAAAGGAGAGAGGAGAAACGTGTTTCCAGAAATAAGAAGAAAGAACAAAAAAAATCTTGAGCGTGAGCAAATCGAGAAGTAAAGAAGTCAGAATGAAGTCCGAAAATTCTACCAATGGGTAAAACACCGAACCGAAGGCTTTGGTGCAGGTACATCCTCCTGTAGAGATGAAGAAGGAAACCTGGTGGCAGATATAGACAGCGTGCTGAGGATCTGGAAGGAACATTTTGAAAAACTTCTGGTATCAAAAGTGGCGGTTAAGAAGATATCCCAGAACCAAAAAGAGATTATGGTGTAGAGTGTAT